CACTGGCTTGGGTCCCCATCCTCATCTGCTCCTTGCCCACCCCCAAACCACTTTCCAATCTTTCTAGAAAGCTAATAGGACCAAGTCATTCCTCTTTTCAGGATGAAATCCAAAGTCCTTCAGGATGCCTTCCTAGCTCATCTCCCCATACTGAGCTGCACCGCTGGCCATTGCCATTTCTCTCACTTCTCTGCAAATTCTGTACCCTGAGCCTGGATAGCTCTTCTTTCTGCACCATCCTCCCATGATGGACTCTTACTCAGCCTTTAAAAACATTTGTCATGGGGCTGGGGGTATAGCTCAGTTGGTAGAGTGCTTGCCTTGAATGCACAAGGCCCTGGGTTCGATTCCCAGCACCAAAAAAAAAAAAAAAAAAATGTCACCTCTTCCAGGGTTGTACTGACCCCTCAGCATCCCAGTGCACTGGGATTATAGCCATGTGCCACTGCACCTTGCTAAGGACACCAATCTTGACTGGTCTCCCCAAAGTTCTTACCTCCTAATATCATTGCCTTGGGGTCAGAATTTCAACACATGAATTTTGGGGGGATGTAAACATTCAGACCACAACAGCTTCCTATTGGAATCCAGGATGGTCTGGTATAGTGGTGAAGGAAGAAGATCCTCAAACAGAGACCACATGGGCTCAAATAAAAAATGTGGGAGCTACTAGCTGTGTGACCTTGGACAAGTCCTTTGACCTCTCCAGGCCTCTGTCCTCATCTGGGAAATGAGGAGAGTGGCATCTACAGAATGGGTCAAGGCATGGTGGTGCATGCGAGAGCGCTGCACACAGGGAGTCTGGAGGTGTGCTCTCCCTTATCCTACATTCCATCTGTATGAAATCCAAATGCTACACAGACCTCAGGGCTTCTTGTATTTTTCATTTTTAACCCATCCCTCCTTGAAGTGACCTCTGGGTGGGGCCTCCTGCTGCCAGGCTGCCTTTCCCTCCAATCAGCAGCCTGGTCATGGCTTTTCCCCTGGTCCCCAGGGGAGGTGGTGGAGAAGGAACAAAGGCTGCCACCTGCCAGGGTCATTAGGGTGTGTCCAAGCTACCCACAACAGTCAACCCTGGGCGCCTGGGTGTCTGTCGGGCCCTGTTGTGCCAACTCCCACGAGCTGAGCTCTGAGGACCCACTCTTAAACTTCTAGGGGGGGTCTCTTGCCATAAGATTACCCTTCCCTCCATGGCTGGCTCTGCAGAACCCCGGAGCTAGGGGACACAGGATGTCTCTGAAGGAGTGTGAGCTCCACAAGGTTGTGAGTACATCATCCAAGGTCGGGGAACTGATGCTGTGTGTTTCTGTTGCTGTGCACACATGTGTACCCATCTCTGGGTGTACATTTGTCATCACCTGGGCACATTCTTTCCTGGGTATGTGAGTCACTTCAACATCTATGTAATGAACACCAAGTACACTAGTCTCTGGGTGTGGCTGTCCCTTTCTGAGTGTGAATATGCTCTTGTGTGACTACTCACTGCTGTGCATTCATATCTGTTTCTTTGCACACAAATCCATCTTTGCACACACTCATGGATCACACATGCAGTGTTTCTGTCTCTGTGCATGTATCTATGGCTCTACTTCTATATCTGTATGTACTCTGTTGTCAATGTGTCTATTTCTCCCTATGGATATATTCAAAGATTTCTGAGTGAATGTCCTCATTGAGTATATACATCCATGTCTCAGCACAAATCAGCACAAATGCCATAGCTGTGCATGTGCACAATTTTCCCAGGGACAAAGTGCCCCTCCATAGGCACACATAGTCCCACAGGGATGCAGCTTCTGCTGCTGTACAGATCTGTGTCTCTGGGTGTGCACATCTGTGCCTGGTGCATGTAGCTATGACAGCACATGCTTACATAGCTCAGGGCTGCACATCAGCACCCCTAGATGTCAGCGTGGATTTCTGGGAGTGGATGTCTATAACTGGGGTTCCTCTCTGCATCAGTTCTGACTTCATTTCTGTATCTGTCACTGGTTTCTGGGTACAAGAATGGTGTCTTCCCTATTCCCTGGGCCAGTCATGAGGACTTGGCAGAGGACAGGGCCAGGGAGGTCTGTCCACCCCTGGGGTCTCGTGGCTGGGTCCCAGGAGCCACATCTCCCTCTTACTAAAGGTCAGGGGAACCTTGGAGAATTTCCCCTGAGTGTGGCCCTGGGGCAGAGGCCAGGAGGTAGGGACATGGAGCAGCTTCCACCTTCAGCTCCCTGAAGTCAGTAGGGTCTAGCCTTGTCTGGTGATGGCATGTCATGCCCCACACTTAACACCGGAGCCTGTTAGGAAGTCACGGGGTCTACACCATGGGAAAGTGTGTGTGCAGAGCTTGGGGTGTCCCTGGAAGACGGAGGAGGGGAAGGAGATGAGGAATGGAACACAGGAAAGAGAAGCGACAGGTCCAAGAGAAACCGGGGAAGCCGGGAGCAAGGGAGGTGATGGGGTGGGCTGGGGTCCCCAGGTGGTAGAAGGTGGCTTATGGGGTTTGGGTGGGTCCTCGCACCTCTGGGAGCCAGACCCTCACCCCAGGGCTAGGAGGCCACATCCTCTCTTTCTGAGTCTCTATTGTTCTCTGGCAGTCACTCTGTCCTGTTCCTGGTCCCAGAGGCTGGGGTATGGAAACCACATCAGAAATGACATCCCAGAAGTCTAGATGGGGCCAAGGATAAGTGTTCCAAAGAGCCCTGAGACAAGGGCGTGACCTTCTTGGCCTCCAATTCCTGGGTAGTTGAGAAGAAAGTAAGGAAGGGTTGGAATTGCTGCCATTTGCAGACCCCCACCCCAGCTCTGCACCCTTGTTCACTGAGACTCCACCCTGCAGGGAAGGAGGTCCTGTTTCCATGTCACAGATGAGAAAACTAAGGCCCAGCACCCGAAAAGACCTGCTCCTAGACCTGGGGCTGGGCAGAGCTGGGGCCTGCTGTCCTGGGACTGGCAGGAGCTTGGGGAGTCAGGCAGAAAATAGGCACCTTCAGAGGGAAGCTACCCCTCCAGCAAGGGGCAATTGCTCTCACCTATATTTGAGTAGAGTAAAGGTTTGGGTTTGAATCTCCCCAGACTTGGATCCTAGTTCCACATCTGATATGCTGTGTAACCTTGGTCAAGTTGGTTCCCACTTTGAGCCTCAGTTTCTACAATGTGTGAAGTGGGGTTCCTAGTCTTACCCTACCTCATTGGACTGCTGGGGACTAACCACATGATCCTGGAGGAAAGGGGTTCACAGATGATGTGGCGCTGTCCCACGGCAGGGATCTGCTTTCGCAGGTGGCTGAGCACTGACAGCAGCTAGTACGATGACTCAAGTGGACATGTTCTGAGCTGGGATTCTGCCAGCTTGATGCACAGTCACTTCATCTAAGGCTCACTGTGCCCTCTGAGGATGCAGCACTGTCCACCTCACATAATGGGAAGCTGGGGAGAAGTTGCTACCCAGGCTCCCACAGCCCCTAAGCAGCCAGGACTTCCTGCCTGCAACAGGAGCTCTGGGCCGCCAGATGGGGTCACTAGGGAAGCCTTAGAGAGAGGATTTGCAGAGGCCCAGAAGGCAGAGGGGGTGAGGAGACACACAAAGCAAGCCTCCCGCTGGCCCAGCCTCTCTCCTCCCCCTCCTTTGATGACTAATTAGCCTTACTTCTTTGGCCAGGCTGGGCGCTAACAAGCCAAGGTGCAGCAGAGGAAGTCCATGCATAAGGGAAACTGACCCACGGGAGCCCGCTGGGATGGCTGTTCTGGACTGTGACCTCCAGACAGTCGTCTGGAAGGTTTTGCTGCCCCATCTCACCCTTGGGGCCTCCTGTCCTCTCCCCTTCTCATCCTCTATTCCTCAGCTGCTCATTCACAACCAGGTCTCAGGGACAAGAGCAGCTCCGTGCAGAGCCTTCCAACATGCTTTGTACTGACACCAAGCCTGGAAACTCCCTGCTCCACAATGAAGCTTTCAAACTTCAACATGTGGGGAAGCATATACCGGTACCAGAGGTAACAAAGCAACCATTGAGTTCCTACTGATTTCCAGGCACATTCTTATACAGCCATATATCAAAGCTATGAGACCTTAGGCAAATTCTTTAAACTTCCCTCCAAGCCTCCGTCTCCTCATCTGTAAAATGGGAATCATGAGTTAGTATTTGTAAAGAGTTTAGAAGAGACATGTCCATGTGATAAGCTGTATTTACACATTCATTTAAATTAACTTTAAAGTCTTTATAACAACTTTACAGGGTACGGAGTATCAATTCCACTTCACTGTATGGTGAGTGGAGTTCAGAGATCATTGCTTTTAACAAGCATTTATTGAGCACCTACTCTGCCAGGTTTGAAACTTTATGCACTTCATCTCATTTAATCCCCATAGCTGAGGAGGCATTAGTATCCCTCAATATTTCCAAACACCCACTTGTGGGCAGTCCTACCCTAGTTGACACCCCTGGCTGGTTATTATCTTCCAGCACATGGACACCAGGACAGCAGAGGTCCAACAGGTCTGGGCCACCAGATGGGGTCACCTAACAGGTTCAGTGCTATATTTCAGCCTATGGTGCAGAGTTAAGTGGTTAACAAATAGCTAATGAGAAAAGGAATAAAAATATTCCCAGTTTTCAAATATGGGAACTAAAGTTCAAAGAAGTGAAGTGATTTGCCCGAGATCACACAGCTGCTCAGTGGCAGAGCTCAGGTTTGAACCTTCCATGTGACTAGCTTGAGAGCCTATATTCTTTTTTTTTTTTTTAAGAGAGAGAGAAGAGAGAAGAGAGAAGAGAGAGAAAGAAGAGAGAGAGAGAGAGAGAGAGAGAGAGAGAGAGAGTTTTTTTAATATTTATTTTTCAGTTTTCAGTGGATACAACATCTTTTTTTATTTTATGTGGTGCTGAGGATAAAACCCATCACCCTGTGCATGCCAGGTAAGCGCATTACCACTTGAGCCACATGGAGCCCCATTTGTGGAAAGGAAGAAGAGGTCTGAATTGGGGTGCAAAGTCAGGGTGGTATAGATGTCTGCAGGGGCAGGTAACTGAGACCAAGACCCTGCAGACCCCTTCACAAGTGCCCTGGCTTCCTCCTTTCTCCACTTGGCCCACCCATATCTCCCCAGGCTGCCTGTCAAGCTGGTCAGGGGAGCAGTGCTTCCTCATCAGGTCTTCCATCAAGAAGCGGGGCCAGCCGAGCTCCCACAAGTCCAAAGGCCGAAGCTCCCATGCTCAGCCTCCTGGCTGCTCGAAGGCTCACACAGGAGCTCAAGGTGAGTGCAAGTATGCCCAGTGGAGGAGGTCAGAGGGGATGCAGAGGGCTTCAGAGAGCAAGCCCATCCCTTCTGCCTATTTTCTGGGTGTGTAAGCTAAGGCCCAGAGGGAATAGAAAGATCCCTGCACTCACTGAGTGTCCGCTGAGGATCAGGGAGAGTGCAAGACTTTGCACGTTGCTGTAACAGCATTTGCAGAGCCCAGGAGGAGGTGCACACCCCTGGAATCAAGGCCCTCAAGAACCCAGCAGAAAACACAGCAGGTGTTTAGACATATTTGCTCCATACCCAAAATGAATGAGTCGTGCAATCCTCAGAATCATTGGGGAAGGTGGGAATTACCATCTCACGGAGGAAACAGGCTCAGAAAGGAGGGAATTGACCATAGCTTCAAATGCTGCCGAGAATGACACCAGGGACCTTATTGGGGGCAGCTGCGGTAGAAGGGGAGTGCGTGCCAGATGGAAGTGGAGTGAGAAGTGGAGGGTGCCGCAGTCCGGCAAAATGCCAGGCGCCATCCAGACTTATTTACAGACCTTAACAGGAGGGAGGTGAGAGCGGAGGCTGTACAGGTTATGGGCAGCTCTCCAAGGATAGGCTGAAAATATGAAGGTGAGAGAGAGAAAAATAGAAGGAACATACTGGAATAGCATGAAGGTAAGGTGGGCTGTTGTGTGTTTCACTGCTTTAGCACGGGGGAAACCGGGACAGGCTTCAGGGCTAGTGGAAGGAGCCAATAGACAGATTCTGGAGAGTCCCTGGAGGAAAAGATCCTTACTCAGAGATTCAGAGAACCACTGAACTGGGCCTGAAGGCTTGCCTCTTTGTAAAGACCTCCAGTTTCCTCAGAGGGGCAGAGGAAGGCAGCTGAGCAACTTTACATACACAATCTCCTATACTCCTCCAAGCCACCTGGGAGGAAAGGAATTAGCACCCTCATTTTACAGAGGAGTGGTAGCTAATCCATGGTCTTGTGGATTCCATCAGCTTCTTTATTCATTCATCAGTCACCACGGCAACACTTACGGTCCACTGTGCTGGATGGGGGGATAAGTGGGGAGGGGACACTGTATTGAGCCCAGCCTCGTGCAATAACACCATTTTCTTCTATCACTATTTTACCTCTCTAACATCTATTTCTTTGCTACTGATCCCTAAAGACTAAGCATTAAGGGAGATCATGTACGGAATGCTGTTGATTTGCCACCTGTACACCCTGCCCACCCTGGAAGTACCTGCCAGAAGTTTCCATGTGCCTTGCTAGTTCCAGGTTTCTTACCTGAGGGTTTTTCAGGCTGCCAACACTGAGGCCACTCAGGACAGGCCAAACATGCCTGTTCAGCCAGTAAGGGAGTAGGCTTGTGGTGGATAAATGCCCAGCTTCCTTGTCCCTCAGTGGCATGATTCTGAGGTGTGTTCCACTGTCTTTTGCATGGACCACGGCAGGCGGATCTCCAGTTGCTGCCAGGGGTAACCTGCCCACCCACACCCTTTATCATCTTTCCTTCCCAACTGTCTCACCATGTTTCCCTGAGTTACCTCCCACATAAACTTCTTGTACCCAAATCCTTGCTCAGAGTCACCTTTGGGACAAACCCAGCAGTCGACATTCAGCAAATGTTCACCTCAATGCTTGTCCATATTTTTACAGAACCGGACATCTACGAGGACACAACTGGAACTGCATCACCGTCTACCAATCTGCACCATCCAGGAGCAAGTACGGGCCAGCAGCCTGCGGGTACAATGAGGGTGAGTGGGCCAGGCTGTGGGCCCCAAGGCACTTTTTTTTATAGACTGAAAACTGGATTAATCTCTGCCATCCACACAGCACTATGCAGTTTATAAAGCTGTTTTCTTGTGTTTAGATTCTGCATTGCATTTTCCATACCAGGGTTCCAAATCATATGCTCCAACTCAGGGGTCTATGTCCAGCATATTTGACCTCAAATTCTGTTTGTTGCAAACACACCCCCTCGCCCCTCTCCTCTTCTCCTTCCAGGTTCCCTCATGGTCAGCCAGGCCAGAGGTGAAGTTCCCCTGTGTCCAGGCAGAGGAACTGATGCAGACCCACCTGCCCTCCAAGCTGGCTGGTGTGGCCTACCATCCAGGCCAGTGTGCCTACCTGGCTGCCATTCTGAGTCCTGAGATCAGGGACCTGGTCAAGGACATCACCCCACCCCGCTATAAGCTAGTGTGTTCTGTCAGCATTGGGAGTAAGGGGCATGATGGTGTGGTGGTCGCCAGCAAGAGCCTATGGGACCCACATGCAGACCGATTTGCCACCTCCTACTATGTGAACTCCATACTCTTCTGCATGGCATTGGTGCATGTCATCTATTTAAAATGAGCCTCGTGGGGCGGGGGCCTGGGATCCACATAGGGTCCCATAATAAGGCCTGGCATGGAAACTCAGTTCCTAGCCCACTAGTCAGTGACCACCTGTGTGTGTAGCAGCCACCTGGCAAGGACAGCAGCTTCCCTGATCCTTCGCCAACTAAAAAGAAAGGGAGCAAGGTGCATCTCCCCCGACCCCTCGACCCCTCGGCAAGCTGCCAGACCACACACGCTGTTGCCGCCTCTGCCTCTGGCTGGGATCATGTCAGCCACGCGCAGCTCCCAGCTGGGTGTGCAGATCAGAAGCTCTGAGCCGCAGCTATCTATGTCTTTGATTAATAAAAAATGGGAGATAAATTAATAATGACTTAATACTTGCAATTTGGGATCAAAATCTTCCAAAGCATGGGGAAAATAATAAAAAGAGGAGTTTTTTTTTCATTTGAGTCAGGGTCTTGCCATGTTTCCCAGGCTGATCTTGAACCCTTAGGTTCAAGTGATCCTCCTGCCTCAGCCTCCTGAACAGCTGGGACTACAGGCACGTGGCACCCTGCTGGGCTGGGGAATTCTGGACAATAAAACATAGGAATAAATGCCATCAGTCATGAGCCAAGTGCTGTTGGGTAAGGCCATTCAAGAGTAGCCTCACAGCAAGGTGCTATGCTTAGGTGCACACATGTATCCCTCATCCTCACTGGGATGAAGGACAGATAACCTGGGAGAGGGTGCTACCTTCCACCATCTTACAGAGCAAACTCAGACTCAGAGAAGCCCAGTTAGTTCTTGTGGGTCACAGCAGAGAATCAGTGAGAGGCTTGAACTTGGTCTGCTTCATTTAAATGGAAAAACAAAATAATCCCCCCCCCCAAAAAAAAAGGAGGAGAGGGAAAAGCCTACAACAGTGGTGTCTGGCAAATCATTATGGGTTAAGTTTATGGGGAAAAGAAGATGTCCAAGCAGAAGGAACACCCAGTCAGCAGGAGTGCTGGGAATGATTTATACTCCTTCTTGCTGGGTCCCTGACATCTAGAAGAGGGCCTGGCATGGTACAAGCTCACAGTCTTGAATGAATGACTGAAGAGCTTGGAGGCATAAAGGGAATAACCTGTGTGAGGTGGGAGARAGGGAGTGGATGTTTGTAAGCCCATAGTTTGTGAAGAGCGTTGCAATTTGGGGTCAAAATCACATTTTGAGATTACACACACACACACACATACACACACACTCACTTTAAACTGGGGATTGAACTCTGGTGTAGTTTACCACTGAGCTACATCCCCAGTCCATTTCATTTTTTGAAACAGGATCACTAAGTTGCTGAGCCTGGCCTGGAACTCATGATCCTCTTGCCTCAGTTTCAAGTCACCAGGATTATAGGCTTATGCCCCGCCACCATGCCTGGTTCACATTTGAATTTTTTAATATTTTTTAGTTGTCAATGGATCTTTTATTTATTTATATGCAGTGCTAAGGATCGAACTCAGGGCCTCACACATGCCAGGCAAGCGCTCTACCACTGAGCCATGACTCTAGCCCACATTCGATATTTTTAAAAAGATCTTTAAGGGTCAGGGCAGTGGCTCAGTGGTAGAGCGCTTGCCTGGCATGCTTGAGGCACTGGGTTCTATCCCTAGCACCACAAAAAATAAAAATAAATAAAGGTATTGTGTCCATCTACTACAAAAAAAAATATTAAGAGATCTTTAATTATAGAATTATTTAAAACAAAACAAAATAGAAAACATTAGCAGATATCAGTGAATCCATTGCCCAGATTAACCAGTTCACATTTTGCAATGTTCATTTCAAATGTTTTTAATATAATACAAGTACAGATGCAGCCCGAGACCCCACCCAACTCCTCTGTCCATCACCAGAGCCAGCCTCATGCTTGCAGCTGGTTCCTCAACTCAAAAGGCAGCATTACTTTGGGTTTTAACAATTTCTAAGTACAGGTGTCTCACTGTACCTATCCTTTCACAACATGCAATTCACATCATTATGGTGTTTTTAGGATTTAGTCTATGTTGACAGATGTCTAGTTCATTCATTTTAACTGCTGTCTGATGTTCCACTGGATGAATAAGAACAATTTGTTGGGGCTGTGGTATGGCTCAGTGACAGAGTGTGCTTAGCACATGTGAGGCTCTGGGGTCAATCCCCAGCACCAAATGAAAAAGAGGGACTGTTCATTTTTTCTCTTCTTCATGGACATACAATTTTTAGTTTTTGCTGTTTTGAACAGTGCAGCAATAAAAATTTTTATACACATCTCCAGGTGCATTCATGTGTCATATATAACCTTTACAACAATCAGGAACTTGTGTTGCCTACATGACCTTGGAGAATCACTCAATGACTTGGAAGCTTAGTTTCTTCATCTGTAAATTGGGGTAATAAAATAGCATAAATATTTGTTAAGATTCTGTGCTTCAATGAATATGAAAAGCATTCTGCCACCTGTCACTTGCTCCATGAATATTGCTTATCACTCAAGTATTTGATCTTCAGGATGTACTGCGTGCCCTCTCTGCTGGGGAAGCAGTGGACTGGGCTATGCAGGGCCCTTGCTGTGCTCAGTCTGATGGGTGTGGCAATGGAAGAACTCAAGAGTCTCTGTTCACTGCTCCAGACTGGGGTGGAAGAGGCAGCAAGGATTCCCAAAGAAGAGACATTGAACCAGGAGCTCAGAGGATAAGGAGGTGAAAAAAGAGAATGGGAGACTGGAATCAGGAGGTTGGCCAGGCAAAGGGAGCAGCAAGTGTGAAGGGAGCAATGATACCAGAGAACACGTATGGAGTATAAGAGGTGGGCACAGAGCAGGTGGCAGCACAGGACAGGTCTGGAGAGGTGAGCAAAGCTGAGATGCCATGTCCTGAAGGTAACAAGGAACCATGGAAAGACTTTAAGTAGGACAGTGAGAGGCATTAATTTGCACGTTAGGAAAATCAGTCTGATTAGTGTAGAGCAGGGCCCAAAGGGGACAGCCTGGGCCTAGAATAAGTCCAAGACCTATCTGATCATAGAACTATTGTCACTTTGTTGATTTCCTGATACCTTTTGGTCATGTCCAGCTCCTAAGTCTCCTTCTTCCACTGCAATATCACACAGTGGCCACCACCCACAGCACTTCCCCTATGGCTTACATAAGGCACCAGCAGGAGATGGGAGGGATGGACCAGCTACCCAGAGTCTCATCCCCAATCCCAAGAGGTCTGTTTTCACACATCTTAACCACTCCTCCTCTTCTGGGGCTCACTAGGCACCCTGCAAGGCACAACACCCAGACACAAGCTCTCAAGTATCTGATGATAGGAGTCCTTTTGATCTTGGCACCAAAGGCATGGCTAGGTCCTCACCAATGTCCCTGACAAGTGATCCTGCCAGCAGCCAGACTACACAGACTCTATGTGGAGGGAGGGGAAGGATGACCACTCTAGGACAAGAGGGGCTGTTAACCATGAGGTGACCTTGTCTAATACCTAAATATTAAATCTCTAAAATGGCACAAAGAAAAATATGAAGGAACTGACCCAGACCTTTACTCTCTAAGTGAGGACCCCCACTCCACCCCTAGTTATGAGTGAGTGTACTCTCCATCCACAGGGGCACAGTGGCATGTCCCTGGCCTTCCCTAGGTTAGGTAAAGCCCTAGAACTAGCTTATTTCTAGTCCTACTCCACACTCCATTTTTTCAGATCTACAAGTTTAACCCCTGCCTTCCTGGCTAGGCTGGAGCTCCTTGACAGAAAGGCAGCACTTGCCCACTGTTGTTTCCTAAGTATCTAGAACAGAGTCAGGCTCATAATTGCCTCTAAAAACCCTTCAAGTAGAGTCCACAGGATGTACTGGCAGAGGGCAGGACAAGGACACTGGCAGGAGGTTATAGGGGCCCTGAAGGAGGGAAAGTGTCTTGCCCCAGGCACAAGTCAAGCAGGAGATCAACAGTCCCTACTTGGGAGCTCTATCAGGGCCTTTTCCTTTCATTGCACTGTGCTGGAGAGAGCCTGGCCCTATAGAAGTGTTCTAGAGGAAAATGCCTGAAAAACTCTGAGTTAAACCAATTGAAACCTGTAGTCTTCTCAAAGCCTTTAATATGCTCACATGCGTATGGTCTTGGAGGTCACATCCAGCAACCCTTCCTCCATCTAGCACAGAATCCCTTCCTGTAGAACAGTGTGAACCTTTTGCATGTCCTTCTGTTGCTTATCATGACTATTTCGTGAACATGACACAGCACATTTGTTGTAACTTTTTTTGGGGGGGAACAGGAAAATCCTTTCTGACAAAATTACTCCACACCCCAGTATACAAATAGGATAAAAATAGAACTCTTCTGGCTGAAGTGGGGCCTGGAGATCCCTCTGGCCATCTTTTCACTGCTGTCATCCATGCAAGAGCCCTGTGGAGCCCATTTTGAAAACCACTGGTGGAGAACTATGAGCACAGGGTTGAAATAAGGAAACGTGTGGTGCCAGCTCTCCTGTTAACTCTTTCACCTTGGGCAAGTCATTTGGCCTTACTGGGCCTTGACTTCCCCATTTATATCACTCTGTTGGACTAGATGTTTTCTACCATCCTATACTTTCAGCTGTGATATGAGGACCAGAAATTTATGACTGCAAAAACCTAGCTCTTAATGTCCCATGGCTAAGATTCCACTGCTTAGTATTCCAATTTTGGGGATGGCCCGTAGCCAGCCAGTGCTGATGCAGCACACTGGAACCCAGGCTGAAAAAAGCAGAATTATATTAAGTGCAGTGCACTGCCCAGGGGCACCAGGCTCCCTGGAGAGGGCACGCCCTCTGCAGGATGGAGGGAGTGGGATGGGGAGGGCTGGGGGAACTGGATCAGCAACCACTGTGGGCAGAGCTGAGAGAGGGACCCAGGTCTCCTGCTCTATCTTTAGATCTCCTTAGCAACCGTAACCAGGGCACCCAGCTGAAGGCACAGGCTGAGCCAGCCACCTGCGGGAAGAGGGAAGGTGTCTGCCTCCAGGCCTCCTCTTAAGCTACAGAAAGGGCTCTGGGCTGGCCAGGCTCTAGAGCCAGAGAAAGGAGATTGAGTGCAAAGCTGCTTGCAGTGGGACATGTTTGGAGCCAATACAGAGGTCATCCAGGGCAATGCCTTGCTCCAAGAATGCTGGCAAGTCAGAATCCAAGGCCTTCAGTGCACAAGGTACATAAACTATGGTCCTTGTCCAGAGAGCATTTAGCTTCGGCTGGGGTCATTCTCTAAACACAGAAGGTTTAGAGAGTTTAAACCTAGGGTTCTGAGCTGGCATGAACACCATTGTTGGAGCTCCTAAAGGGCCTTCTAATTGGAAGGACCAGGGCAGCTCCCCACTTCTCCTGCCCAACTGCTACTTATCCTAGACTTGGCTTCCTTGGAGGAGTCCCCCTGACTCTAAGGCTGGATGCTTACCAATCAGGGCTCCCACACAGCAGGATGCCAGGAGGAAATGCTTAACCCTATAGTGTAGAAACAGAAATCCTAAGAGATGAAGACATTTGCCTAAGGTTACATGGCAAGTGAGCAGCAGGGCCATGCCTGGATGCCATGACTTCTGATTCTAGTCTGAGATTCTTCCCATGTCCCTGCAACAGGTCCTTGGTCGGGCTTTGGAAAGGAGATCTGGCTAGAAGAGAAAGTAGGAGTCCTTAGTCAGGCCTGCACACAGCAAGTACTTGGCCATGTCCTCGGTAAACTTGGGGGAGCCACAGACCAAGGCAAATGGCTTTCTCCGACATCGACTAACCAGCTCTTCAATCAGGTCCTGGTCCAGGTGACCAAAGTGGGTCTTCTCTCGGTAACTCCAGGGAAGCTGCTCTGGGGACTTCTCCTGGGAAGATCAAAAAGAGCGGGAGTGACTACCATGGGTTCCTCAGAGTTCACATTGCCAGCTCTTCTCTACCAAATGAGGAAAGAGACGCAGAGAGGATAGGAAGCAAACTTAGATCCTCATCACCCTTGCAGCAGTCTTGGGAGCTGTTACCCCCCAGAGCAGGGGAGATAGGGGGAGGAGAAGAGGCTTCCCTGGGAAAGTGCAGAACTCTACTCTTACCACTTCTCACTGCCTCTGTAGCTGACACTGGCAGGGAGCGGTTCTCCCCATAGATAAGGGGGTTTCCAGAATCCCTAATGCGATCCATTACTGTCACCTCAGGGCATACTTTTGTTCATTTGTTTTAAGGTTTCAATGAATTCCTTGTTTATTTTAAAGATGTTTGCCAGGTGCCCACTCATGCCAGGTATGATGGTAGGGGACATGGTGGCTGCTCAAACAGATGAGTCTCTAGGTCTTGTCCTGGCTGTGTGTAACACAAGTCCCAGGCAGCAGAGCCGCCATAACAAAAGGGGATCTATCCTTCACATAGAGGCCCAAGAGGCCCAGGCCCCTTCTCTTGCTGCCCTCCATCTCTGGCTCACAGCTGTCCTCCTCCCTTAGGTTCATGAAGTAATCGGTCCACCTCCAGCTGACTTAGAAGAATTTCTTTTTCTATTTTAAGTAAACATTTTATTGAAATATAACTTAAACATGGAGAAGTGTACAAATCATTAGGTGTATACAGTTTGAAGAACTTTAATAAAGAGAAGAAACCACATCATCAGCACACAACTAAGCCTGGGGCAGGACTGACACTCTGGAGACCTATGAAGGCCAGCTGCTAGTTCCTGGGGCCAGAGAGGATGGAGAGAGGGGGTTCGAGTTGGAATCTTAGCTGCTCCGTCATTTCCTGTGTGACTGACCTCTCTGAGCTATGGGTGAGGACACAGGCTGTGGAAAACCCTGGTCCAGCAAGCCACAGAGGGTGAAACCTTGTAGAAGCCCTGGATGCTGAGGCTTCTAGCATCAAGTTTGCTCACAGGGCCTTGGAGCCCCACCTCACAGAGCTTGTCTGACCCCAAAAGCCCTCTTGCACTGGAGAGTGAAGGAGTCCTCGCCGATGATGTGAATCTTTCCCTTCACAGTATGAGCCTATACTCCCTCCACGGTCTGAGTCATCCTAAGGGGCCTCAAGGGCAGGGCCTGGTAGGGCCTGCTGGCTTCATTTCTCCTTCCCAATGCTCAGTTCCCTCAGGCCAGTTGGCTTTGCCTGCCGCCACCCTAACTGTAAACCCCAAAGTGCACTGGGTCTGGCTGCTGCTCAGGTCAGGAGGGGCCTGTAAGCAATGATGGTGTGGCAAGTGGAGAAGGAGAGTGGGGCTGTAACAGCAGAACACCAGCACCACCCAGGGGCTCTGGGCAAACATCCAGGATGAGCTCCCCTCAGCAGGATGCAAAGGGTAAGCAGGTGTTAAGAAAGGGAGGGGGACAGCTCCCCTGGCAGAGGACACAGCTTGAGCAAAGGCCTAGCAGCCAGGAAAGCAGAGCTCACTTGCACCACTGAGCAGACCAGTGACACCAGGACACAACACACAGGGAGGCTGGGCCAGGAGGCAAAACTGTACATTCTGCCAGGGCTACTGAGTTTAGACACTGTCCTAATGGCAGTGGGGAGCCAGGGAAGGGCTGGAGCAAAGTGGTAGTCCATCAAATCTGTCATTTAGGCTGCAGAATAAACAACAAATTGGCAGGGAGTAACTGGAGTGGGAGACCCCGAAGGACACAATTTCCAGGGCCGAGTTAGGGGAGTAGGAGCCCTTGAGGGAGTATGAAGGAGCAGAGCCGTCATCCTCAGCCCTCTTTACCTGCCCCTCCATCAATGGGCAGCCCACTTCCCTGCCCAACCCCAGGCCTCTGCAACATCAAAGCCCTAAGGTCAACTGCTCCACAAAGCCCTCCCAATTCTGCCTGCTGGCCATCAGCATCCTGGCCATCCTCGCCTCTCAGCATCTTGTGCTGTGCTATCTCACAGTGATGAGCACAAAGAGAAAGGCCACTGAGCAGGACCACTTGGCCTGTCCCAGCATCCCAGCTCTCTACCAGCTGGCTGGGTTATTTTGTTCTTAATCATTTATGCCTCAATTTCTACATCTTAAAAGGGGCATCATGGCAGTACAAGCCCCATGAGACTCTGTGGAGATTAAATTAGTTCCTACACACAGAGCTTCAAATGATACCAGGCAGAGAAAGTGCTCAAGGAGGGGGAACCCTTATCAGCTGTCCTGTCCTTGTGCCATCTCTCCGTGCACAGGTGAGCGCCTACAGGGCAGGGAGTGGGTCATCTTCACTTTTGTGTCCTGGAATTTTGTAGACATGTAGGCGGGGGACAGAGGAAAGGAGAGCTGGTCAGCATCCAAGGTGGCTACCACCCTCCTGCCCCGCTCCCACTATCCTGAGCAGGGGCACCATGGCCTTCCTTCACCCACTCCCTCAGGCTGCACACTAGCCTCTGGCTTTGTGCCCTGCCTGGGTACTTCCTGCTGCTTCTAATGTTCACCAAGCATGACCCTCTTGATGGTCTTACCACTGAGCACTCTGCCCCATGGACAGGCCACAGACCCTGGCTCCTGGGGAGCCCAGAAACTCTGGTTTGGGGAAGGGAAATCCAGTTTCCTAACCCAACCCTCACCTACCTGACCACAGTGCTGAGGATCAGCTAAGTGACAGATGCCTCAAAGAGGAAATTAATGAGAGGAGTGTCCACAGTACAGGGCAATAAGACTGACCATAAGCAAAAAGGAATGCTGGGAGGCCCCAGGAGGGACCCTCAAGCCAGCAGGTGCAAGGAGAATTAAATCTATAGACCAAGGAAGGCAGAAGAACAAAGGCAGCTGAGGACCTGGCTTGAGATAAAGCGCAAAGACGGTCCTCCATTCTATGGTGGGGAGGATCCAAGAAGGGTAACTAGAGTGAATGAAGGGGATAGGGAACCGGAGGGAGGCAGTATCAGAAGGCAGTGTGACTTACAGATAAAGAATCTGCAGCTTGGGGAGTCTCATGAGCAGATGAACTGAGGTAATGGGGAACCTTCTAAATGGAGGGAACCTGGATCCAGTTTGGACCATCAGTTGCTGACACAGTCCCTACTCTGTGCCTGGCACTACATTAATCCCTGAACAAACAGTGCTGACCCAAACATGTGGTCCTGGTCCCAAGGAACTGAATACATTGAGCCTGCCCTGACTCCACGGCTGGTCCCAGGTCACAGAGCTGGTGATGCCAGAGGGTGGGGGAGGCAGCAAAGGATGGTGGGAGGAGCTAGAGCTTGGGAAGGAGTCAGTCTTGGGCTCAAATCCTGGCTCAATCCTGTCTACAGTGTGACACAACTGTCTTTCGCTGATGAGTTCTGTTTCCATTCTGCATAAGAACATGGTGAGAGCTGGGCACAGGGGTACACACCTATAACTGCAGCAACTCAGGAGGCAGAGGCAGGAGGATTATAAGTTTGAGTTAAGCCTCAGCGATTTAGCAAGACCTTCAGCAACTTAGTGAGACTGTCTCAAAATTTTAAAACTGTAAAGGACTGGGGATGTAGCTCAGTGGTAAAGTAATAAAAAGGACTGGGGATGTAGTGTAGTGGTGAAGTGTTCCTGGTTCAATCCCTAGTGCAAAAAAAAAAAAAAGAGAGACCATAGTAATACCCGCCTTCTGTGCCAGGAGCCTGTGGGTATACTACCAGTGTCAGGGATTATTAGTGCAACGTGGCACAAAGAGGTTGGTCCTTGGGATGGATGCAAGGTGACTGCAGAGTCTCAGTGAGGGAAGTCACCTCCCTGGGCTTACCTGGCTGAGTATGAAGAAGGTGCGGACATTCCAGAAATGGGCCTGCTCCTGGAGGAAGGTTTTCAGATAGATGCTCTCAAAGGTCTTGAAGCAGCAGACCAGGGTGACGAAGGTCTCATCATCTGCATTGTCAGTGATGCTCTGCAGGATGGGCACCATGGGAGCCAGACCTGTGCCTGCAGCCAGCATGAGGAGCTCACCATACTGGGGAGTAGAATGGGCATGACAGGTGGATTGAGGGTCTCATCCCACCTGTCCTGCTTATGGGCCTTTTCTTGGTTTTGCTTGAACCAGAAACAGTGCTCTTTCTGGGTTTCCACCCATCTATGCCCCCTCTCTTCTCCTTCAGGAAGTCATTCTGACTTATGAAAGACATATGAGGTATGCATAACAGAGATTAAGGAGTCTTGAGGGTGAAAGGGAACACAGCAGTGTAGTCCAACCTGAACATGGGCTTGTTTGACTTCTAAAGCATTGCCACAAGGATTCCGCTCACAGCTTCTGCTGCCATAGAACTCACCGCCTTCCAAATCAGCTTTCTCCATCATAGGCCAACTGCCCCTGCTAGGGAGATCTCTCCACCTCACGCTGAGCTGAAACCTGCTCCCACCAAAGCCTTGCCCACTCCCAACTCCATCACAGCACTATTCTCTGGGCTACTTCCTTTGCCCCTAGGTAGCCTTGAAGATATCTCTGGGCCCCATCTTGGACCCCAGAGCCTGCCCTTCTCTAGACTAAACATGATAATATATGCAAGTGTCTAACATAGCATTGGTCCAAAAGAGTCATGCAATCAAGGTGAGTTCCTGCTCAAGAGGCCTAGTTCCCTCAATTCCTCTCAATGAACTCATTTCCTGGCTCTAGATCTCTTTAAAGAGGGGCAAGCCTTCTTAAGATGAGTGCATCAAAAGCTAGTGCCTAACCCCCATGCAGAGAAGTATTCACTTCCCTCATTCTAGAGATTAGGCCTCTGTGTGGAAATACCAAACCATATGATCTGGGCATTTTTTTTTTAAATCAATCTGGGCCTCAGTTTCTTAATTGGTAAAAAAAATTTTAAAAAATAAGCCAGGGTGGTGGTGCATATCAATAATCACAGATACTCTGGAAACTCATGTAGGAGAATCATAAGTTTGAGGCCAGCCTCAACAACTTACTGAGACCCTGTGTCAAAATAAAAAATTAAAAGGGCTGGGGATGCAACTCAGTGGTAGAGCATACCTGGGCTCAATTCCCAATAACTAACACACACACACACACACACACACACACACACACACACACAAATTGCACTTCCTCATAATGACACCTATCTCAAAAAGTGTTTTGAGGCTCATAAGAGATGACATAAAGTGCCTGGTGAGGAGCTGAGGTTTAATCCAATTAGACTGCTTCCCTTTGCTAGGCTCAGGATACCCTCCTACCTGCTATTGTGGGGCCATGTCCTGCTGTCCTTGTTCATGCAACCTCCCATCTCCATGTCTTCAGCCTGCCTCAACCCTCCCTGCACTTCTCCATGTTCAGGCTGTCTTCTGGGAAGCCTCTCCCAGCCAGGGCCAGGGAAGGGGGTCTTCCTTTGTGTTTTCATAGCTTGCTGTGCCTCCCTTGATATAACAGAGGCATACTGTTATCATCTGTTTGTGTGCTTGTCTCCTCCATCAGACTAAGTGGGAGGACAGAGGCCTTGTCTGATTTACCTCTGGTCCCTGGAGTCCAGCATGGGCAGGAGCCTGGGTAAACAATTCTGTCTACTGCATGAGCACACTCATGCTTGGGTGTCAGCCTCAGGGCTGATATAATATCTGTCTATAATGAGACAAGTGCAGAGAAGCAAAGCAGGCTAGCAAGAGGGGAGCAGCACCCAGGCATTCTCGTGGGAGAAAAAGCAGCCCTGATCAAGGCTTCCGGTGGCCAACAGGAATGTTTGAGACAATATCGCCTTTCCCTCACTACTGGGCCCTATATCCTCACAGATGAGAAATGCAGGGGCTAGCACTGGAGGTGTAGCTCAGTGACAGAGTGCTACTATGCACCAGGTCCTGGGTTCAATCACCAGTGCTGGGAAAAAAAAAAAAGATTAATAAATGCAGGGGGGTTGGGGATGTGGCTCAAGAGGTAGCGCGCTCGCCTGCCATGTGTGCGGCCCGGGTTCGATCCTCAGCACCACATACAAACAAAGATGTTGTGTCCGCCAAGAACTAAAAAATAAATATTAAAAAAAAATAAAAAATAAATGCAGGGGCTTTTGAGTGTTTGATGGATATAAAGGATAGCAACATGGCATCAGAAGGTTCCCTCCTGGAAAAAGTGGTCAAGACAAACTTTTTTATCTGGTGTCTACCCTAGGCAAGGGAGAAATAGGAACAATTTCCTTGCCCTGCTCTCAGGGACTGGGGGGCCGGGACACACTGAGCTAAAACACAGGGTTGAGTGCAGTTAGTACTGGGGAGTCCTATGGAATCCTGTAAAAGAGCATTAACGTGTACACATGCATGTGTAAACTGGAGACAGAAGTACCTGAAAACTGTTGTGGGAACTGAGTTAACATATATCAAGTGCTAAGGTCAGAGTATGTACACTGAAGGTGCTAAATATGTGTCTGATGGTATTATTTATTTAATTTCCTTTTTTTATGGTGCTGGGGATGGAATCCAGGGCCTCGTGGATGCTAGGGAAGTGCTCTCCCACTGAGCTACACCCTGTTCCTGATAGCATTATAATACATACATATGTGCAAGTGCTCAGTATGCATACCTGTGTATGTACATATGCCAACATACCCACTCATGAAAGAGGATTTGGAAGAATACACATCAAGGTAGCAACCTGGTATCTAAAGAAATGGCCTGCAGGTGTTTGTTGTTTTCTTGTTTTTGCCACTATATAGCTAAAGCTCTTTTTTCTGGATAATGAATATGTACTGCATTTATACTAAAGAAAAAAAAACAATAAATGCTATTTTAAAATTAAACAAAAAGAAAGACGAGGTAAGCATGATTCATTCTTTTCCATTTGTTTTTGTTTTGCTTTGTTTTCCTAATTATAAAGGTAATAGGTGTTCATCGCAGAAAATTTAGAATGTATAATTTTGGAACACATAACAAATGAAGAAAATAAAAATCACCCATAATTCTACCATTCAGAGTTTAGCATATTACATTGTATTTTCCTTTCATATTTTTTCTGTGCCTTTTCAGTTAGTTTCTCAACCTGGTATATATTCAGTTTTTTACCTAATGTTTATTACTTGATCTTGTAGCATAAGCATGCATCATTTATTTATTTATTTATTTATTATTATTTTGTGGTGCTGGGGATTGAACCCAGGGCCTTGTGCATGCAAGGCAAGCACTCTACCAATTGAGCTATATCCCCAGCCCAGCATGTATCATTTATAAACAAATTATGTTTTAAAACCCAAGATAATACTCTATCAAGTGCCTGCATATTTGTATACTGAAACCCAGAATATTTAACTGTACCTCTAATGTTGGATATTCAATTATCTCCAATTTTTTGTTATTACACACATACAAAAAACATGAATATGTGCAAAGTAGTCAGCATTTTGGATTCTTTCCACACAAAAGACTTCTAGACGTGAAATTACTGGGTCAAAGGATTTAAAGATTCTTAAGACTCTTGTTATACACTGCTAAACTGCTCTTCAAATATGCACCAACTGAAGAGGAATTGCTAAGTATTCCTGGGAAAATCAAGGAAGTAACATGCCATGAAGACGAGGGCAATAGCCTTCTGAGCTGGGAAGCAGTAGGCTCCTAAGCAGGGAGCCATGGCTATATTTGGCCCTATGAGTGGAATGCACAGAACAGCACCTGAGGTTTATGTGGCACGGGCTCCTAAACACCAAGTAAATGAGTCTGGTTTTCTGAGCAATGGACAGCCACAGATAGTCTTGGAGCACAGCAGGTAGTTTTGTTTATTAGTGTCTATTCTACTATTCTATCTCCTCCCTTTCTCAACTCCAAGGATACTCTCAGGATTGAGTTTAAGCTTATGAACAAAGGCACAGTGAGGTTCTATGGCCTAAAATATGAGAATCACAGCCCTGGAGGTAAGCCAGGGGCATCTCCTAAACACTTAGGGTGCTGGCACTGACCTGATTTGGTTTATAGAAGAAGTTTCCAAAAGGTCCTCGCCAAAAAGCTGTGTCTCCCACTCTCCAGGACTTGATACACCGGGACATCAGCCCTGTCTGATAGCACTGAAAGCAAACACAGAGAGAACTCAGTGGGAAAGGCATATGCTGCCAACACAAACCACATTTGTCATTAGTATGGAGCTCTTCCTGCATGCTGAGGGCTTTACATAGGTTGTCGCATCTAATCCACCTCTGCACCTACAGGTTGGTACTGTTATCCCTGATGTTCAGATGAGGCCCATAAGTTCCCACACAGGGAGATGGCAAGGCTGGGATACAAATCCACAGGACTGTAGCCTTCACCAAAGATCTCAACTCAAATGCCCACAGGGACCCAAAACCAAGTGACTAATGGCAATTAACAATTTCAGTGAAAGGGAGCAGTAGGGAGTGGTGGGGACTGTGATATATTGGTGAGATAGTGTTCCTTCTAGGGAGGACCACTTTGCAGGTACCAAGCTATAGTTTGTGAAACTGATGATGCCAAATTTTCTGATTATCTAAAACAGGCAGAAAATCTGTATTTTTATTTATAGTTTCCCATTTTAAAATGACAGTAATTAATACAAATTTAAAACACTATATAGGCCAAAATCAAATATATTTGTGGGCTGGATCCAGTTTGCAGGCCATACATCTGCAATGTCTGAATTATCCTACACCATGTGCTGAATATATGAGAAAATGAAGGTTGTGGAAGGGATTCCTCCATGGGAAGTGGGCAGTCTATGTTGCCTGGGTGCCACCCACTCTGTGCCAGGCACCATGCTGGGATTGCAGGGGAGACAACTGGACCTTAAGCTCCATGAAGGCAACCAGTGTCTGAACCATAAAGGACTTAATATCTCAATGAATTAATTAATCAGTCAATCCAAATTCAGGCCCTCCCCTTAAGAGTAAACAATCTGGAGCTGGGGGTGTAGCTCAGTGGTAAAGCACTTGCCCAGCACACAGGAGGCCCTGGGTTCAATGACTAGCAATACACACACACATACACACACACACACACACACACACACACACACACACACACACACACACAATCTAGAAGGGATGTACAGCTCAGATACACACCAAATAGAGACTACCTAATTACCATGAGAAGGATAAAATGCTAGGAGAGTACAGCCAGGCTTAAAGAAAAGACTAGGCTTTGGTCTCCAAACATGTTTTCCATCACCCAGAACCACCTTGGATACCACCTTTGCTTCTGCAGCTATCATCTGCATAAGCAAAGGGAAAGTCCTGCCAGGTGAAGTGTCAAGCTGGCTGGTAATCCCAGCAACTGGCTGGGAGGCTAAGGCAGAAAGATTGTGAGCTCAAAGCCAGCCTCAGCAACTTACTGAGGTTCTAAACAAGGGACCTACATGTCTGAATTACCCTACACCATGTGCTGGATAAGTGAGAAAATGAAGGTTGTGGAAGGGATTCCTCCATGGGAGGTGGGCAGTCTATGTTGCCTGGGTGACACCCACTCTGTGCCAGGCACCATGCTGGGACTGCACGGGAGACAACTGTCTCTAAATAAAATATAAAAAAGGGCTAGGGATGTGGATCAGTGATTATGCACCCTTGGTTCAACCCCTAATACCTGCCCCCCCCAAAAAAAGGCAGGGGGTTCACCTGGAAGAGGTCTGAGAAGAAGAGTCCTTTTTTTTTTTTTTTTTGCAATGCTGGGGATGATCCTAGGGTGTTCCATGTGAGGGAAGGGCTCTACCTCTGAGCTCTACCACCAAGGAGGGCAAGGTTTTGCTCCTGCCTTTCTGGAGACTGGGTCTTAGAGCATACTTTGTTTTCTGACCCTAGTCTGGCGGGGAGACACAACCCCAACTGTGGCCTCAGAGGCCCTATGCCACAGACAGTTCCAGGAAGAAGTGCAAGATTCTTTTGAGTCTCTACATGGCCTGGTTTGGAGGAGATGCTCAAGATGCACTGCAAAACAAAATGGACACTGAGCTTTTATCCTTCTACTTGGGGTCATATTGCCTGAGGATCTTTGAGCTTCAGTTTCTTCATCTGTACAATGGGGCTAATATAATCTACTTGTCGTTATAAGGTTGAATTGAGAACAAAGAGCCAGAAGCAGTGTCCCGTACTCTGCAGGTGTCTCAGAAGTGCAGCCTCCCTCCTTTCTACAAGGGGAGGCAAACTGGAAAACCCCGCTGCCTTCCCAATTTGCAAAGACATTTCTGGCTTTTCCTAGCCAGCGGCTTAGGGATAATGAGGTGCCTCTCTAAAGAGAGGCTTTCCAGCAAACGAAGGAGAAAATCAGCCTTACAGCTGGGAGGGATCCAGCTGCTCTGGAGAACTGTCTCCAGGCTTATCCTCTCAGCAGAAACACACCCAGACAAGCAGCGCAGGGAAGCAGGCCATTTGGAGAGGATTTGCAGAATCTCCCAGACAAACATCAGTGTGCAGAAGGGATCCCATCCAGGATTATGTGTGAGGGAATAAACATTTGAGTTCTGAAGCAGGCAGGGCAGGCAGGGAAGTGGGAGGGAAGACAACACCGGCATCTTGGATTCAGGGGCAGGGCTCATCCCCCACAGCACTGATTAGTTATGGACCTTGCGTTCCCCTGGGCTTCAGCTTGCTCATCAATGAAATAGGAATAATAATGCATGTTTTAAAGGGAGATTAGGATGGGAAAGCTATCCTTCTACATTGGTGTTCCCCAGGATTCCATCTGGGAATGATGAGCTAGAGCTCTACTGTGAAATGCTATTTCTAAGTAAAAAATGTCAGAGTATCAGCCATTTCGTGTAGTTCAATCTAATTATTTTTTCTGCATACTGGACCTCCATGACTCCTTGTACATTTGTTGCCCACTCCTTGGGTCTCCAGGGCACTTTGCATCTGACACACTTGCTCATCTCATCTCTGCCAACTCCTCCACTTGCCCTGACTACGCTATGAGCACCCTCTCCTCCTGTCACTCGGACAGGGTACAGTTCCTAGAAGACCTACTCTGTGTCACCACCTCCCTACATTTGGTTATCCATCCATCAGCCTACAATGCCATTCCCCACAACCACCAATTCATACTACTTCAAGTGTATCAAAGGCCCTGCCTCTGCTCACCTCCTACGCAGAGGTGATGTCAGGTTAGTTCAGTTCACAAAGTCCTCCACATCCCACCTTTTTCCTGATTCTCTCAACTCATATCCTCCTCCCTTGGCACTCATTCTTCTGTTCCAGGATGAATGACTTACTTCCCTAAATCCTGCCTGCAGAGACTCCTTCACACATTTCCCCTCACTCCCTGCTCCTTAAACACAGTTTTTGCCAGGAAGCCTGGCCTGCCTTCCCTGCACCCCCAGCTGCCCTGAGTTGGGCTGGGCCTCCTCTATAACAGCATCTGTCACTCATGTCTCAGGGTTGGTTCCTTGAGGGTGGTCACCATGTCTGACATACCTTTGAACCCCAATGCCCAACATACAGTGAGTGTGGAGATTTGGTTCTCCTCTACTTCCCAGTTCTGTGCTCATTCTTCACTGATAGGAAAAAGTGAAAAAGAATAGTTCCTCCTAAAATCTATAGAGAATATGCCCTCAGTCAGTTGTCCAGCAGACCCCTTCCCCAGGAAAAGGAGAGGGGAGAAGGCTCCCTTTACCTGGCCTGCTGTTCCTGTAAGTCAGCCTCTTCCCACATGAACACTGGATGGAAACTGTTCGATCCCAACCAAGCTGGCAAGGGAGGTACCAATTCATGACATCTTAGGAGCATCCTCCAGAAGAGTCAACTCACCTTGATTAAAACTTCAAAGTATCCTTTTGCATTGGCAGGGCTGATGGGCGTGTAGGCTCTCTGAATTTCCAAGTCATCTACTATCCCTCTAGGAAGGAGAAATACACAGTCAGGTGTTTAGCCAGTCATTCAACAAACCCTTATCAAGAACTTTCTCTTGGGCTGGGGATGTGGCTCAAGCGGTAGCGCGCTCGCCTGGCATGCGTGCGGCCCGGGTTCGATCCTCAGCGCCACATACAAACAAAGATGTTGTGTCCGCCGAAAAACTGAAAAATAAATATTAAAAAAAAAACTCATCTCTCTCTCTCTCTCTTTAAAAAAAGAAAGAAAGAAAGAAAGAAAGAACCTTCTCTGCCAGACTGATGAATCTGAAGATGGAATCCAGATATCCCAGAGGTTTCACTGAGAAGCAAGGTACAGCAAAACAAAGAGCACTGAACTCATCCTCTGCCATATGGTGGTTGTGACAGGCAAAGTAATTTAACATTCCAGCTGCCCCTTCTGCAAAATGGAGACAGCCATCTATGTCCTGACTATGGGGCCACTGGAATTACAGGTGGAAGAGTGCTTCAAAAAGCACTGATGATGGGGCTGAGATTGTGGCTCAGTGGTAGAGCACTCACCTAGGGTTTCATCCTCAGCACCACATAAAAATAAAGGCATAAAAAATGTGGTATGTCCATTCAATGGACTATTATTTAAAAAAAAAAAAAAGCACTGATAATGGGGCTAGTTTTATAGCTCAGTTGGTAGAGTGCTTGCTTTGCATGCACAAGGCCCTGGGTTTGATACACATACACACACAAAAACAAACAAACAAAAAAAAAAAACACTGATGATGTAAGCAATTTTGGGGACACTGCTGTGGTTTTTCCTGACCTCGTCTCAACTATGTAGTGATAATAAAGATTAAAAAAATTGTTTAGATTTATGAAACACTATCATGCACCCAGAGTATCAAAACTGGAAGGATTATCAAAGGAACACTAGTCCAAAGCCCTATCCCCTGCATGAGTCCTCTCTACAATGTTATCATGGGGTCAGGATAGCAATCATGAGTAACAATAATAGCCAGGTTGTATTAAATGCCTACTATGCACCAAGCATATTATACATGCTATTTCATTTCATTCAAATGATATCCACATGCAGAATCCTATGCTTAGAGAAGTCAATTGCACAGCTAGAATTCAACTGCAACTCAACTCCAAAGCCAGGTTCCCCACCACTATTCCTCACAGCTTTTAAAGAGCACCCAAGCACTCTTCTCCAGGGCAAAATGTTCTTCTCTGAGATATGCAAGGTTAAAAAGACCCTGTCTCGATGCTTCAAAAGCAGGGCACTAAACAGAAATATTTAATAAATATTTATGAAACAAATGAGGAAACAAGAACAGACATATGAGATGACGTAGATGCAAAGAGCCAGGATGTCTGCTGCAACAGAGGTAAAACTGACAGAGGGAGCAATCGCTCTCATCTGTAGAACCCCAAAAACCTCCTAGAGGACTAAAGGATAAGCAGGCCACTGACAGATCACAGTAGGGACAGGAAAAGAAGTAACTGCAGGCATATGGGGCAGCCCAGGCAAAAGCTTAGAGGCAGGACAATGTCAACATTGTCAGGAACTGGCGTGGGATGGCAAGGCTCAGACAAGGAACACATGTGGAGTGGGGGACAGGGAAGAATTTGGTGGGAAAGGAGGCTGGAGGCCTTGGCTTAGGATGTTATCATGGAAGTGTGCATCAGAGAGTGAACAGGTAGTGACATGGTCAGTTGAATACGTTAGGAATGTCACTGGGATAGTGAGGAGGATGGAGGAGAGAAGTCAGTCTAGAGGTAGGGGTTCTGGGCATCCCTGGCTTACGGATTAAGGGTTGCATGAGGCTGTGACCTGCCTGGGGCTCTCCTGCCTCCTGGAACAGTGAGCTTCAAAGACTGCCAGCCAGGCCAAGTCCGAAGCACCTAGACACATACCTGGAGTCTGATCAGCAATAAGCTCTCTCCTGGTCCCCACCTTATCCTCTGATTGCACCTTATGTCTCCTTTGCCAGCTCCTCTTTCTCTTGCCAGTCCCATAAATTCCAGAATTTTCAGGGTTCAAATCTATCCTCTTTCCTCTTTTCATACAAACACATATGCTCCTAAATGCCATCCAGATATGGGCTGATGACTCCCAAATCCAGATCTCTCTGATGAACCCCAAACTCATAGAACTGATTGCCTGGCCGACACCAATCCCTGGCTATCCCAAAGGATCTTGTCCCTGGAAAGGTGGGGGCAGGAATCCAAGTGGGTGTAGAGCACCAAAGCAGGTCAGGACAAACCTCAGAGAAGTGGCTAAGAGTATAACTCAGGAGCCATGCTGTTTTGATTTGAATCTTGGCTCCATTGACTTCTCAGCTATGTGATATTGGGCAGTTTATTTTCAGTGACAGTGTCATTTCTGTCAACTGGTGCTAACCATAATAGGTTAAAATCATAGGCCCTAGAGCCAGATTGCTTGTCTTCAAATCCTGGCTCCAACATTTCCTAACTGTGTGACCTGGACCAAGTTCCTAAATCTCTCTGAATTCAGGTTCCTGTGGGGGATTATAGTGGCAACTACTCACACAGGGCTTTGTGAGAGTTATGTGAATTCACACATACGAATGCACACACCGTGCCTTGGATAATAAGCGCTGCTAAAGTGCTTGTATTATTATTTTTCATGATAATGCATTATCTAGTTCTAGTTGCATCTGAAGAACCATCTGAGTCATATATTGCTATTTTGAAGAAGACAAATGAAAGCTTAAGGGCGGTCAGGCAAGTTGCCTAAGGCCACTAGTTAGGACAAGGTAGGCAGGCAGCAAGGCTTTGGTCCTCCCGTGACTTGAATGTACCGTAGGATGAGGTGCTGCCCAGGGTGCAGGCTGAGTTGGCTGTTTCCAGGTAGAGCAAATCGAACATGGTAGGTGTCCTTAGTGAGTTTGTCCAGGGCACTGATGCGGAAGGCCAGGAAGGTCTCTGGGCTCAGCTTGGAGGGGCAGCTCTGCAACAGGAAAAGACCTGACAGCTAGAGGCTGGGCCCAAGGGACACAAAAGCATCCTTCCCATGTTCTCCAAGGAGAGCTGTGTTGGTAAGTTTTCTGTGTAACACAGAGTAGTGCCACCTTATTTCCCTCTTATCCAAAAATATGAGAGCACTTTACATTCAGCTCATCTTACTCTTAAACCTTCCATGGTTTCCGTCAGTCCCAGGATCAAATGAAAGTTCCTTAGCTTATACTTAAGGGTCCGGTGAATAACCCTCAAGCCTCAGTTTATCTCCCATGCATCAGATGCCAGACTTTTCTCCCTCTTCCAAAGAACACCTGCTGTCTCCAACCTCTGAGTCTTTAGCTGCCCCAGTTGTGCCCTCTCTCCAAGATACCTCCAATACATGAGACCTGCTCAGACTTCAAACCTGTCAAGTTCTAGATGTGCAAAGTTGAGAAGTTAAAGGGACTTTAAAGATGATTTAATCCAATATCCTTATATTATGTATGGGTAAAATGAGACCTGAGAGGTAGTGGCTTACTTGCCCAAAGTCACACTATAAACAAGGACTCAAATTCATGTCTTCTAGGACTCAGCCTACTGCCATTACCATTCCAACCCCACTATCAACTCCTCCAGGAAGATTTCTTTGAATGCCATGACTCAGAATTTTCTCTTCTGGAAAATACCCACACCTTACTCAGATGACCTGGGACTCCCTCTTGTCCAAATCAGAGTGCAGCACCAACTCCATTCATGGGAATGCTGACAGCATCACAGAACTGATGCTCTCAGGCTTGGTATCCAAGACTTTTCCTCCACTGTGCCCTCTCCCACCCTACTAGATCCCCCATGAGGCCACAGCTGCCTGGGGCTCTGGAAAGAGCACTAGACTGAGTCAGGAGCACTAGTGTTAGCTCCAGTTCTGCTGCTGCTCATCTGTGGGGTCTCAGGGAAATCACTTGATCCTCTGGGTCTCAGTCTCCCAGTGTGTAAAAAGGGACCAATTCATCCCTGATAAACATATGGTTATCAGATGAGATAACAATATAAAAGCTTTTTTGTTGTTGTACTGAGGATTGAACCGAGTAGCACCCTACCACTGAGTAAAGTCAGCCCTTTTTATTTTTTTTAATTTTTAAATTTTGAAACAAGATCTCACTAAGTTGCCTAGACTGGTCTTGAACCTGCAATCTTCCTGTCTCAGCCTCTGAACTAGAAAGGATTACAGGCATGTACTACCATGTCCATCACAATACAAAAATATCTTACACAATGTTAATTGTAAAGGAAATGAGAAATCTCTATTATTATGACTATTAAAAATTTAAAAATAAAACTTACGCCAGGATTGGTGGCACGTTTATAACCCCAGCAGCTTGGGAGGCTAAGGCAAGAGGATTGCAAGTGAAAAGCCAGACTCAGCAACTTATTGAGGCCCTGGGCAACTTAGCAAGACTCTGCCTTTAAATAAAAAATTAAAAAGGACTGGAGATGAGGCTCCATGGTTAAGCACCTCTGAGTTCAGTTTTTGATACCAAAAAAAAAAATTTTTTTTTAAATAAATAAAATTTATTATTAGGTTGAAATATGCTGTTTTACAAGATTGGCAAAATTAACTTTCTTTCATTTAACTTTCCATTTGTTATGATAGGTGATGACAGCACTATTTACTGAGCATCTACCATGTGCCAGGTACTTTATTTATTTATCCCATGAAATCCTCATAATAACCTCTGAAGTATTAATATTCCCATATTCAGATAAAACTGGGTTTAGCAAACTAAAGTGACACACAATTAACTGGCCTAACCAGGCCTCAGCTCTTACTTTGTACATCCTTATGGTCCTTGGTCCCTCTTCTACAAGCTGAGTTTACTGAGGGCTGGTGACCTGGCATCTTTACTTTATCAACAACTTCCTTGTGCCTAACACACAGGACATGGTACTCAGTAGACCTAGGATAAACTCACTCATTTGTTTAACAAATGTTTATTGAGTATAATGCCAGGAATTGCTGGCAGAAGACAGAACAGTGAGCAAAACACAGCTCCACTCCTATGGAACTTACATTTTAGCAAAGAGACACGGACAATATGCTCATAAGCAAGTACATCTAGAAGGTGGCTGGTGGTACTGAGAATTAAGAAATGAAATTTGAGCAAACATCAGAAAAAAGTGAAAGGGGGACTAGGATGGTAGCTCAGGGCTAGAGCCTTTGCCTAGCATGATTGAGGCCCTGGGTTTGATTCCCAGCACCACAAAGAAAAAAAGAAAAACAACCCAAAAAGGAGTACAGAAATGATCCACATGGAGACGAAGGGCAGAGAGAAGGAAGAAGCACAGCTGTCATGAACATTCCCCAGTCACTGGCAGAGACAGAGAGCTCGGGTCCCCACCACCACCTTCCAGGGGCAGAACTACAAGGAAACATCTAACAGGGATGGATATTAAGTCATTTTTTGGAGTTGAAAAAAAACCTGCATTTCTTTAGGATGTATGATCTATAGCTTAGGAACAACATGCATAAAAATTACTGAAATTTGGTTCGGTTTGGAACCCAACAATGGGGAATAGTTGTCTGAAAAGTGATGGTGAGGCCCGATTACATTAAGACGCAGAAATGGAAGATATCTCTCCTCCACAATGGACAACGGGTATACACACACACACACACATTCATAAGTGTTACAAAAAGAAAAATTTTACTATTTAAAAAAGCAAGGATGAAATAAGAAGAAATAACAACATTCCCTATTTACTTCATATATTATAAACTATTTTGCTCTGTAAGGGCAAGGACTGTATCTGTTTAGTTCCCTCTTAAATCTTTCATGGCTCATAGGTCCTGATGTGTAACAAGCACTCAATAAATATTTGTTACATGAAATAAATATTAGAGTCTGTGCTAAACATCACAAATGTTTATCCCCATTATACATACGGTGAAACTAAGGCTCAGAGGATGAAAACCCCACAGCTGCTAATAAGTTTGTTCCAGGCCTGGACTTTGACCCTGGCTCTGTCTGTTCTCTGTATGTGCACTCCTTTTTGCTGTCCAGTCACATCTTCTCAGAGCTGGTTTGCAGGGGTGAGGTCAAGTAAACTCCACCACCCTGGCCCAGTAGTCTGAACAGCCTCTCACCTGTAACTGCTTCCCACTCAAAAGGCTCCTGTCGTTGCTGGCTCGGGCTGCCTCCCACCTTGCCAGATCTTGGTGGTAGAGGTCAAACACACAGGGTGAGCAGCCACTGCCACAGCACTGGGAAGGCAAGGGCTCCACAGGCCGCAGCTGTAGCCAGGCTTCCTCAGTGTCCTCTTCTTTCTCACCCATTCTCAGTGGGGCTTGGGCAGCCTGGGAGGGACAACAAGGTGCTCTTCCCCCTCCCTTGCTGGCCTGGGAGAAGGAAAACATGGGGGTTATACTCTGGTCTCCTCTATTCCTCACATTCTCACCATTCTGCAGGTGCCAGGCTCTGTGCAAACCCTGAGGATGGGACACAGAATCTGCTATCTGATGTGATAACACTCACTACCATTGGTTTTAAGGCACTTTTAATTTTATTTTTGCAATACTGGGGATTGAACCCAGGGCCTAGTGAATGCTAGCAGGTGCTCTACCTACCCACTGGGCTACAGCTACAGCCCTACCATTGCTTTTAGAAGGGCAGTCCCTCTGTGTAAAATAATTTTTTTTAAATATTTCAGCCTCAGAAAACGTGTTCTACTGTGCATGAGCTCTACTTCAGGAAAGCTTTATGGGCTGGAACCCTCACAAGTACAAGAATAATGTCATTCCTTCTACATTCTCCCACCAAGCATAGCTGGCATATGGAAGGCTCCCAGTAACTTGTGAGAGGTTATTCACTTTACACATACAGATTGGAGGCTAGGTTCAGTGCTAGGTGCTGGGATGCAACATAGATGAGCAGAACATGGTCCTTATCTTTCTAAGACCTAGTATGGTGTTACGTGAGTCCAATCCATTTTTACTGCATGCCATGTACCAGGTATCTATTATGAATAAATGAGGTGTGGTTTCTTCTTTCTGCTAATTTCTTATTCCCTACACTTTGGGGAGCTTAAATGAGATAAGTGAGAGTTCTGTTGACTATAAACTGCTAATTCAGTGTATGGGCTTATCATATTATCAGTTTCTGCCTTAAATCTACCCTCTTCATGTTTAACAGTTGTATTCTCTGCTTTGTGGAAACTGGTAGAAAAGTTGGCAGTGTTCATCGTGAACTCCAAAAACAGGTTCACGCCATTCCTTTCTGCCTCTACCTTTTTCCATCTAAAAGGCACCATCTTTAAGTCAGGCCTTGGCAGATGCTGTTGTCTCTTCTTGGATGCCTTTCCCCACCCTCAGGCCTTGGCTAAAAGGTCGTTGCCCCTTGGAGGTCCTCCCTGAGCCTCTCCCCTTGTTACTTTCCATTATGAACCCTATTTGTGTCTTGTATGTCATTAAACATGCATTTACTATGTGCCAAGCACTACTCTAGATGCAGACATTCATTAAACAAAACTAAAATGGAAACACGAAGAAAATAGGAAGAAAAATAACTAGGGAGAAGGAATAGGACGTAAGTGTCGCTATACGTTATCTGCCTACCATGTGTCTCCTACTAAACTGTAAACTCTTAGACTCTCGCGTTTTAGTCACCAATGCCACGGCGCCTGGCGCAGCAGGCATTTGTAAATAACGTAAATGGGGAGGAAAGAGCAAAGGAACATTTCCACCGCTCTGGCCCTGCCTCTAAGAGGCCAAAGAAAAAGCCCCAGAACGGAGGAAAGTAACTCGCTTTCGGTGGCGCCGGGGAAGAGCTTCAGTTCGAGCCGTGGTTTGGAGCGGGTGTGGTGGACAGGGCCACTCTCAGGCACAGGGGATGGGGGGGCGATTAAAGGTCCCGCAGCTGTGAGAAGTGGCGGAGAGGAAAGGAAACTTTTCCAGGCACCCACTACGTGCCGGGCGCTAGCTCAGGCATTTCTATCCCCATTTTGACAGGGAGGGGTATAGGAGCTATGGCCAAGCTCCAGCTGCTCGTAATTAGTCAAGGAGGTTCTAATTCGGTTCCGAGGTCCTGGCGCTCTTCTCCTCCTGCCCCAGTCCCTTTACTACATCACCAGCACTCACCTACATTCCCGCAAGTCCCCTCACGTGAGCATCTACCAGATTCCCACCCCCGCCCAAAGGCGGGGAGCTCTTTTCAGGACCCACCTATGAGATAGTGAAAACGGCTTGTGGGGCGGGGCAAGACACGGATATTCCTGACTGTGATTGGTTGAAGTGGCTGCCGTTCACAAAATGAGTCTCCGCGTTCAGCCCCCTGAGCTCCCGGCAGACCCTGCGCGGGGAAAGATGGCGGCGTCCAGGTGGAGGTCTTTAGGTGACCAGGGTATGGCGTTGGCGTCTGGGCCCGCAAAGCAGGCGCTTGCTGGTTCTGGGCGGCTCGGCCTTGGAGGCTGCGGCGCTCCAAGACGTGGGGCCTACGAATGGGGCGTACGCTCCACGCGGAAGCCCCCGCCTCCTCCCCTGGACAGGGTGTACGAGATCCCTGGACTGGAGCCCATCACCTACGCGGGGAAGATGCACTTCATGCCGGGGCTCGCGCGGCCGGTCTTCCCGCCCTGGGATCCTGGCTGGACGCACCCAAAGTACCGCCCCTCGATCCCGCTTCACGAGCATGCACTGTACAAGGACCAGGCTTGCTACATATTCCACGAGCGTTGCCGTCTAGTCGAGGGTGAGGACCCAGGACAGGCGGGAGGGGGCCTAGTTCCTCTGTGCAGCTCTGACCCCCGAACTTCTGTGGCTTTGGATGAAACATTGAAGCCCTGTGGGTTTTGATTTCTTCATCTGAAATATAGAACCATAATGATTCCCATCTTCTGGAAGTTTTCAGGATTAATAGAGCTATGCTTATGTGATGGAATAATGAGTTTTACTGTTAAAGTGAAAAGACATGGTTTCTAAACCAAGCTGTGTCTATAACTCTATGACCTCAGGCAAGTGGCTGGTCTTCCTGAGCCTCCAGTTCCTGTGAAATGAATGGTGACGACTAGACAGTCCACACTGACCCCTCTAGCTCTGACATTCTGAAGATAACTGTACTTTTAAGAAATAGCTGGAGGGAGTTTCTAGTGGAAAGAAATCAGAAAGTGTTTAATCTCCAGGCCTGTGACCTCATTTCACAGAATTACTAATTGTAACAGAAAGGAAGTGATTTTCTCACAGGTGCACTGTAGATTAATGGTGAAGCCAGATCCCCAATTCCACTTTCCTAGGTCAGTGTCCTTTGTCAAAAGTCAGAGGCAAAATGTTTTCAAGGAGAGAATCTGAACTTGAAAATCTTCTACCCATTTCAGCTCCTCTGTCACTTTCACTAAGAACAGATTTAAGGGCTGAAGATGTACGTCAGAGGTTGAACCCTTGCCTAGCATTCTGAATGTTCAATCTCTAACACCACACAGAAACACCTAGAGTCCATGTGTGTTGTGAGGAGTTGACTGTTGATTGAGAGTCCCTTTCTTCATTCCTAGTCTTCCCACTCAAATCAGAATAAGAATAGGACAGATCCTAAAAACAAAATGCTTGAGACAAGTGGGAGCAGTATTTTCCAAGAGGTAATTGGGAAAGAAAGAGCCCTGGCAGACATTGGGGCCTACATCAGTTAAAAAAAAAAATTCCGGGCTGGGGATGTGGCTCAAGCGGTAGCGCGCTCGCCTGGCATGCGTGCGGCCCGGGTTCGGTCCTCAGCACCACATACCAACAAAGATGTTGTGTCCGCGGAAAAAAAAAACTAAAAAAAAAAAATTCCTTAGATTAGAGCAAATCAATGGGCCCGCCTCTTAAGCTGCCCCATCCTATTCCTGCAAGCTTATTTTCCAGCTATTAAACACTTCCAGTGTCCTTACAAAGTGCTATGAAGGGTATCACAAGACTTGGTACCCTTGAGTGACTCTGGTAATGAAACCCAGTGGATTAATGCATTAGCAGTACTTGAGAAGTTAAGATTATGCTCATCTGAGCCAGGCATGGTGGAACATGCGTGTAATCCCAGCTCCTTGGGAAACTGGGACAGGAAAATTACAAGTTCAAGACCAGTCTTAGCAATTTAGTGATATCTTGTCTCAAAAAATTAAAAGGACTGGGGTGTAGCTCGTGGTAAAGTGCTCCCAGGTTTCAGTCCCCAGTACTGGAAAAAAGAAAATAGCTCATTACAGAATATCAGGGTTAATTTAAACAAGATGTGAAAAGTTCTCTGCTTAAGTTATCCCAAATTCAGGGCTCCTTAAATTACTCATGAAAATCTAAAATTATTCTCATTTTTTCCAAAAGCTGCTTTCCCTTGAAAGTCCACACTTTCCCTTGATAAGGTCGCATGGGTTTATTCCTGGGGTCATACCTAATAAATAAGGTATGTTTGGTAGATATAGAATAAAATTATTTATTTTATTGACACCTGATATATGTGTCAGGGGTGGGGTATAGATTAACAGCAGGGATTTTTTTTTTTTTTTTAACCAGAGATTGAACCCAGAAGTTCAACCACTGAACTACACCCAGCCTTTTTATTTTTTATTTTAGGACAAGATCTCACTAAGTTGTGGAGGCTGGCCTCAAGCTTGAGTCCTCCTGCCTCAGCCTCCTGAGCCACTGAGATTATTATAGGTGTGTGCCACCATGACCGGCAACAGAGGGATCTTAAGTGAAGGGTTGGCATATGTTGATGTAATACCATAGCCTTGGATCTCACTGCGCTAACAGGATTCAGCCATATGACTGTTTGAATTTTTCTAGCCACTGTTTGAATTTCTCCCATGCCAAGTACTCAGTACCTCAGTCAGCTGTTGACCATCTTGAAGTAGATGGTCATTCCAGATGTTGAGGTGAAATCTGGCTCCCCTAGCTTCTACTCTTCACTTTCAATTCTTTCCCCTCGAGTTTCCCAAGACAAATCCAGCCCTCTATTAAGGCAGCTTTTTCTCCATTATGCTGCCTAGCAGACAGGAGCAGCTCTTCCTGAACCCATTTCTCATTTTATTGTTTTGTGCTGATTACCCTAAAGGTGTGAAGCAGGCCCTCTGGCTGACCAAGAGCAAGTTAATAGAAGGACTTCCTGAGAAAGTGCTTAAGCTTGTGGACGATCCGAGGAACCACATAGAGAACCAAGATGAGCAGGTTCTAAACATCATCTCTCATGCCCGTCTCTGGCACTCCACTGAGGACATCCCCAAGAGAGAGACCTACTGGTATGTTTCCTTTGAGTAATTAAGATTTCCAAAAGATGGATCATGGAGCCAACCTGTTGCTTTAAGTCTACAAATGTCTCTTCTTTTCTCCAAGCCCAGTCATTGTGGACAATCTGATACAGCTGTGTAAATCCCAGATTCCCAAGCATCCTTCTCTGGCCAGGCGGATCCTTGCCAAAAACTACTCATTATCTGCCACCTGGAATCGAGGTTGGTCATCTTGTACACTAGAAAATTCTGGGCTGTTTTTATCTTTCTATCCTCAGTCCCACCATTAGTTTATCCCTCCCATTCCCACCCCACCCTACCCAAATACCTATCCTCACTCTCTTCATGGCCCAGGTTTGTAGGCTCAGACACATATTCAATATTGTTAGGTATAACCTCACCACCTTTTTGTTTTGTTTTGTTTTTAGTACTGGGATTGAACCCAGGGGTGCTCAATCACTGAGCCATGTCCCCAGTCCTTTTTTTTTTTTTTTAATTTTATTCTTTAGTTGTAGTTGGACACAATACCTTCATTTTATTCATCTATTATGTGGTGCTTAGGATCAGACTCAGGGTCTTGCACATGTGAGGCGATCGCTCCACTGCTGAGCCACAACCCCAGCCCCCCCAGTCCTTTTTTTTAATATTTAATTTAGAGACAGAGTCTCTCTGAATTGCTAAATGCCTTGTTAATCTACTGAGGCTGGCTTTGAACTCGTGATCCTTCTGCCTCAGTCTCCTGAGTTGCTGGGATTACAGGTATGTGTAACCATGCCTGGTGACCTTTTTGTTTTTAATCACTCCTGTCTTAAGACCATTAATAGCCAACCATTATCTGTTAAGTGCCCACACTATGCTTGGGAGTGCCTAAAAGCTGAAGATGAGCAGATAAAGCACATTGAGTCTGTCCTCACCACACTCACATTCTATTGAAACAGTCTTACATATTTCATACTTCTCTACTTTTCCACATCTGGGTTCAACATAGCTGCTGGAGTGATCTTTCTACAGTAAAACTCCCCCACACTTCCTGGAGTTGAACCCAGGAGTGCTCTACCACTGAACTACATCCCCAGCCTTTTCTAATTATTATTTGGAGACAGAGTCTTGCTAAGTTATGGAGGCTGGACTTGAACTTGGAATCCTCCTGCCTTAGCCTCCTGAGCAGCTGGGATTACAGGTGTGCACAACTGTATCCAGTCAGTACAACTCTTTTTATGTCTCTCCCTTATTTCAAATCCTGCCTCCCAGTAGCTTGAACTCTTTATTGTGATATTCAAGGCCCTCTATGCTTTGACCTTCACCTAGTCTTTCTAAATCTTATCTCCTCTACTACTATTCTGTCCCTGTACCCCCATCCCTAAATTAGCCACTTGCAGCTCTTTAGTGTCAAGTGTTCCCACCTTGGAGCCCTTGAATTGCTATACATTCTGTCTGGAATGCTCTTTTCTACTTTCCTCATGTATCCATATTCTACTTATCTGTAAGGCTCAGCCCAGGCCTCTTTTTGTGAGTCCAGGATGGTTTAGCTGTCCCTCCTCGGTGCTCCTTGTGCCATCATAGCACTTATTACATTATGTTGCAGCTAACAAACAGATATCAACTCTCAGGTGTTTGATGCAGGTATGTCAGAGGACACAGGCGTTCTAAGTGATGGGATCCTGGAGCAGGGAAACCAGCTAGGGAATAATTTGGCACTTTAGGACATCTGTTTGGTCAGGTTTCTCCAGCTTGCCCCTTTGCATATGGACTTCCTGGCAGGGAGTCAACCTTGTAGAGGTAATGGCACCACTAAGGAAATTAGTGAGCCTCATTAATAGAGGAGTACTTGTTGGCCCATCATCAAGTATTACCTCTAATTAAACTGCCCCATTTGGAGCTGTCACTGGAGGAGGGATGTGGAGGGAATTGAATTAGAAACCACACTAGAGTGGTCTGTGGGGAGAATCTAAAACCCC